ATGAAACACAAGACGCCTTCCCTTCCCAAAAAATTAACTGAATGATTGTCTGACAAATACTCGGAGACAAACGAAAAGACATAGCAATAATAGACAATATTTTGTTCTCAAATGATTTACTTAAATAGTAACTTGTCGATTCACATCAGTGGTAATTAATTTCTGATTTCCAAGGTAACTAACAATTTAGTCCTAATCAAAGAAATGCAATTAATTAATCCATTTCCTTACTTATGTATCCGTTGCGGTAAATTTGTAAACAATCTGTTTCAGTAGCAATTAATTCATTTCCAAAGTAGCTTTTGCAGTATATATTCAGATGATGTATGATTTTTTGTGCTTTTGTTTCGGCAGTTGCAATGCTGTTCACCGATTTTGATATATATTTATCTATGTTATATGTTATTACCAGTTCAGTCACCTTGATATTTCCTCAAGAAAACCATAGCAAGACGTATCGCAGCTTACCAATATGTTTATGTTGATTGTGACGATTTTCAAATCCCTATCGTGAATTTTCCGTTTCTAGATGTTAAATATGGTGAGGCCCAGTCCGTAAATTGGGATGCCAATTTTAAAATTCTTCTGGATTCTGTTGAATACTATGCCAGAGAATGGGCGGAACGTGAACATGCTCCGTTGAATTTACTTTATGAGTGGATTATGTCCATTTGGGCCATCATTCGTATTTTGCAGCTTGAAATTGGAAATGAATACAAAACACTTATCAGCTTTCCTCAATCATGATGTTAAATCCACACTTACAGATTTACACGACAGGTATGTTATTGTGCCAACAACAACCCATGTTCAGGCACGTTGGACACTGTCAGCACTAGACGAAGTGGTCAACTGGGCCCGTATGAAATTTAAACCAAAGAAATCCCGGTGTATGATCATCAAGAATGGCCGGTTGACAAAGCAGTTCATCCTTCGGATCCAGGGGGAGGAGATACCATCAATCATTGACAACCCAGTGAAATGTCTAGGGAGATGGTACGACGACACCCTGTCTGACAAGAAGAATGTGAGAAAGGTGGAGGAGCAAGTAACTGAATGGCTGAAGAGGATCGACAAGTCAGGACTACCAGGGAAATTCAAGGCTTGGTTATATCAACATGGTGTTCTTCCTAGACTGTCTAGGAACCTGATGCTGTATGAGCTACCACTGACAGCAGTGAAAACCTTGGAGAGATGTACCAGCAGGAAGTTACGATCATGGCTGGGAGTACCACCTAGTTTCACGGCGGTTGGCCTGTACAGCAAGACATCTCAGTTGCAGTTACCATTGTCCTCCAGGGTGGAAGAATTCAAGGTGGCCAAGTGTAGATTGGTTATGACCCTGAAGGACTCCAAAGACATCAAGATACAGAAAGCTGGAGTGATCACAAGGACAGGTCGGAAATGGTCAGCTGGTGCTACAGTCAGCAAAGCTGAGAATACGCTGGAGTTATAAGACATCGTGGGAAACATCTGTGTTGGTAGACGAGGATTGGGAGTCGATCACTTCCAGCAGTGGAGCAAAGCAGAAGGCAAGGAAAAGAGAGACAGAATTGTATCTGTGGTGAGATCAGAGGAGGAACAGCAGCGCAAAATTAGAGCAGTTGAGTTAGGACAGCAAGGATCATGGACGCGGTGGAATCTTCCGGAACGCAAGATTACATTGACAGACACTGCCATCTCCAAGCAACTTGTGTAGGTGGGGTCTTCTGGAAGATCCAGCTTGTTCCTTGTGCGGTGGAAGAGACACACTTGCACATATCCTATCAGGCTGTAGAGTAGCCCTCCAGCAGGGACGGTACAGATGGCGTCATGACCAGGTTCTAGCTGCCCTAGCAGATATTCTGGAAAAGGAGCGGCGTCAGAAGAGGTCACTGACAGAACCTCATAAACATCACATGCAGTTTGTGAGAGCTGGAGAGAAGGGACCACCAACTACTACTGCATATCATGTGAATGTATTCAGCCAAGCACCATCCTGGGAAATGAGAGTAGACCTCAACAAGCGTCTGGTCTTTCCTGATGTAGTGCAAATTACTCTGAGACCAGACATTGTGATATGGTCACAACAGCGCCAGAAGGTCATCTTGGTGGAGCTGACAGTTCCATGGGAAGAAGGGTGTGATGAGACACATGAGAAGAAAGCTGGCAAATACCAAGAGCTTGCAGAGCTGTGCAGACATAAGGGATGGAACACATGGCTGTTTCCAGTAGAGGTCGGTTCCAGAGGATTCCCTGCACAGTCAGTATTGAAGATGTTCCAGAAATTGGGACTGACAGGAGCAAAGAGGAAAGCACCTATTAAGACCTTGGCTGAAAGGGCTGAGAGAGCATCATGCTGGCTATGGTGTAGACGAGATGAGCCAAACTGGAGCCCAGACAACACCAAGCAGTGATTGATCACCACTGCTGACCTTCCAACCAGAGGACGTCGTGGAATAGGGGTCGAAAGGGCCGATGATGGCTGGAAGGCTCCAGAGCTCCATGTCATCAGTTCCTAACCGAAGCAGCGGGTGGGTTTTCATTAGCAGAGAAATCTGTAAGTTCACATTGCCCGCAGATAAGCCGTCCAATAACTTGGACTTTGTCTACAAACATTATTACATTTCCTGTATACAAAAAGAACCGGGCTTGCGTGATAGCGAAGGAAACATTAATCTTACAAAAGACAAAATACTAGCTAATAATGCTTCCGTATTACAATAATTTAGATTGCTTATTAATGACAAGGATACGGACCTCCTCCATTTATACTGTTCCCGAAACTTAACAAGAATCCATATAAACGTTTTATAGCTGGCTCGCCTAACTGTTCAACTAAGTCTATGTCTAAACTACTAAACACCATTCTAAGTACTATCAAATTTGGGGCACAGTCAAAATGTGATACTGTTTACTCCAGAAGTGGAATTAATAGTACGTGGATTTTGAAGAACTCCAAACAGCTTTTGACCAGTCTTCAACACCCTCTTCTAAAAACATTCTTCTATAAGAACATTTGATTTTTCCACATTGTACACCACCATACCCATTGTTATGAGGGCTTTCCTCTCAAAGGTGAACGGCGGTATAAATATATGGTTATAAACTATACCGAAGTGTGTTTCATAAAATTTACGTTCACATCAAAGAAGAAAAATAGAGGAAATCATAAAAATGATCGGGTTTTTGGTTGACAACATCCTCGTTGATTTTGGTGGTAAGTTCTTTCGACAGACTATTGACATACCTATGATAACCAACTGCACCCGTCTGTTGGCTGACTTGTTTTTTTTTTTTTTTTTATACGAGGCTGAATTTATAGAAGAGCTTATCAAAACAGGTCACAGATGACCTTGCAACGTTGTTTAATCTCACCTTCAGATATACTGATGGCGTCTTTGAATAACAAGAAATTTATTAACTATGTTCATCGTATATATCCAACTTAACTGGAAATTAAAGATATGACAGACTCTTCTATATAAGCTTCTTATCTCGATCTTTTTCTACAATGAAACCAACATGGACAGCTTTCCATTAAGTTGCACGATAAACGTAATGACTTCAATTTCCCTATTGTGAATTTTCCATTTCTGGATAGCAATATCCCTACATCGTGCAAGAAGACGTCAACTGGCTGACAAACTCGTAACACAAGAGTTCAAAAGATGTAGGTAGACGAAATTTATGGGGAAGTTCTCTGGTCACCATAGTGATCTCATTGAGAAATATTCTTTGTGCGACATGAAACTGGACGTACTTGCATTTGATGTTCGTTAGTTTACATGGCGGATATCGTCGATGAAGCAGAAGACGCTTACTCTTCCGGAACACCTGGTCTTTTTCAGAAATTTCCATGTTAATCTTTATCTGTTCATATTCCTTGTTGTTTGTCCTTGTTGACTCGACATTGAAGGAATTATTACTTTCATCACAATTTTGTGCATGATGTCGACAGCTGACCAATAAACATACATCCCAAAGTGTTTGGTAGATACTGAATTGATGAAGACAACATGGTGCGTGGGAAAGGTTTATGGTCGTCATCCTATCTCAGTTTACATAGTCTTTGATGAGCTTGAATTATTTCGTTATTTTGAACTGGGAATGTCGTGTTGTCTGGGAGGACTGCAATTGTCAGTTTATCCCATTAATTGGATGGAACTGTCAGTTTATTGTGTTACCCTGGTAAATACTATCTGCAATATATCGCTTTCACAAGCGTCCTGTTACTCCTTGGAACTCGAGGACGAGTTATTTCCTGGAGGGGATGTATGTAATGGTACAAGCCGTAATATACCGATCGGAAAGATAACTTCTCTTTAGCTCTATCGACTAGTAACACCCTGAGGTCCCGGGTTTGAACCTATCGAAAGCATTGAAATAAATGATGACTTCTGTTACAATCATATTAAGCGGATTTGACATTATATTGCTTTGAGCTTTACTGTCAGTAAACCATGTAGAACTGAAAGGTCAGGCTAGACATAAAATTGGGCGTGGCAGTTTGTTGCGGGGATGGAGCTGTTAATTTACAGATAAAAGTGAAAATGGAACTTGAATTGTCTGTTTATCACGTAGAACTGGGCTAGTAACATCGACAACATGAATGTGATAGGTTCTGTTCAATAGACTACAAACACTGAAAGCCTGACATCAACAAGCCGTTTAACTGGCTAGAAACGCTTACAGTCTGAAAGCAACATTCCGTTTAACTGGCTAGAAACATTGACAGTTTAAAAGCAACATTCCATTCAAATAGCAATTAAAATAAGGAGTATGAAAGCAACATGCTTCGTTCAAAAGGCTAGCAACAATGAGAGCCTGAAAACAATATGGCAGAAAATCTGGAACCAATGACAGTCTAAAAGTGACAAGTTCCGGTCAATACACCAGAAACACTGACGGCCAAATAGCGATATGTGATATATGTATATATAGTCTTGTAGCCCTGAAAGTGAAAGCAATCTCAAAACAAAACAAAAGTGATTTTTATAAAAACAGTTTAATATCCCAATAACAGTTTTATATTCCAGTAACAATACAACGCCCAGATAACAAATGTATGTAAATTCTTGAATAATAGTGACAACAGCATGAAATAGAATTGTTCAAAATATGTAAAACAAGTTTTGATTGGATGATTTAAATGCTGAACGTAGTTTGATAAGAAAATATAAAAATGTCATGGTCATCAGAGTGCTTAAAAGTAGAAACACCGTCTGCCAATCGTAAAGTTTAGCAATATAGCTGAGAGGTAGTCCCGCGAGGAAAAGACCACCTGAAAAAATGAAAATGTTTAAGAATTTGTTTTACTAGCATTTAAGTTTGTTTTATAAAAATGAAAGCAGAAAGATTATTTTTCTTTCTTTTTTATTTCCACTGAGCAGCTAAAACAGTTAACAAACTGGTTGTGACTACATCAGATTATCAACACAACATGAGTTACGGCATTATACTGAATGTTTTTATTTTTGTGTATATTTAAATGTATTTGAAATGTAAATTGCAGCTTTCTCTGTAAATACGTTGTGCTTTTTTTCAAGGATTGTATTCATAATTAATATACATTATTGATCTAAACCCCCTTTTAAGAAACCGATATTAACAGTGTTAATTTGCTTATTTCTGATTTGAATCAATAAGTGCAATTCTTGACCTTCTGACCCTTAACTAAAACAGAACCAAAATAATTCTGATATATACACTTAGCCAAAAGTTAGGGACCATTATTTGTGGCATAAAAGTTTAAAGTGTGTGAAGCCATTAAAAGTGCCGACAATAACTTTCTTACAGCAGTAACAGTGAACTTGATTTCACAACCCTGAAACTTGAACCCATGAAAGATATTAGAGTATGTCCATGTCCATGAGAAGAACTTTAGATTTGATCAAAATCCCTAAGGAAATACTACTGGTGACCCTACAACATTGAAAATCGAACTTGTCCAATACATTTAGGTCCTTATGAAGTGTGCAGTGTGGTCAAAAGTCATCATCAACTGATAGCAAAAGATTGCTTACAAGGATATCTCTAAATATAGTGAGACACAAGAGGAGCTCAGCCAGAAGATAGAACACAGTGCTGAGGTCACCACAGCGAGACAGCAAATCCAACATTTAGTGAATACAATATGTACAGATGAGTTAAAAGAAAATATAAGGAAACTGAAGTGGAAATAATAGATTAAGAAACAACGAAAGTTCATAAGTATCTGTTATGAAGGCTCCCACACTAAAGAGAATAATATTGCTGCAACTACCAGATGACATCTGAAAACAATAACATCCCTCTAAAATGTAGGCAGCATGAGGAACAGATTATATGAAGTAGCGAGAGTGGCATTCATAGGGAACCATTACAATATTTTGTCTTCAATACCTGGCGACTACGATATGGCAGTTTAAAACTACTACATGGAGGAGACATATCCGATGAAGAAATACACTTCTTGAAGAGTGCACAAGAAGCCAATGGGAGAGGAACGTAGTTCAGTTGAATACAAACATTCAACATGGAAAAATATTTTAACTAAAAAGAACCTATGGCATCTCACACAATTTCTAAACAAATATTTCAAAGCTTCTTGAATGTTTCCTGATGGAGGTGGAGCTGTCAAAAGATGCAAAATGCCACCTACAGAATGTACCACTCTGACAGACCAGGCAGTCTTGTTCACATAATGTTGACTGGTAGTGTCATCTCTTACAGACAATACATGTGCAGACACATTAAAATCCTTGCAGACACCTAACCGACAGAAAGAACAAAGAGAAAAGAGAAGAAAGAAAATAAATCTGTGGTCAACCCTTCTTGGATTGTGAGCAGGACTGGGAAACAGCTTTAGATAAGGAGGATGGGAAAGTGGTTTCCTAGACACAGTCCGCACAAACCTAGAAATGTGTACATTGATATTCTCATGTGGTACTTGTTACAAATTTCCATTGTGGATCTGACAGTGCCTTGTAAGTGTGTGAAACCTCTAGAGTTGTAGCAAGAATTATTTTAAAGCAGTAACAATGAACTTAACCTTACAACTCTAAATCTTTAACCCATCCAAGATGTTAAAGTATGTCATTTAAAAGAATGTTAAGTTTGATCAAACTCCCTGAAGCCACAAGCACTAACAAGGATTTTCCTGAACTCATTCCAGATATTTATTGTTCTTATTTGACATTTTTACAACTAAATACTTACTTCAACAAAAAACATTAAAACTACAACTTCCATTCCAAGTTAAACATTCTGATAACATAAACATTTTTTTACGAGCTGACACACAATCTCATGTTTCCAATAGTATACAACATGCAGCTGACCCTAAAATGTCTTAAGAATATTAGATTATATAGTGGCAGCAGAATGGCTCTAATTGGCTATTTTCTTTTTAAGAGTGATAAAAGTAACATCTCTTTATCCCCTCAAGTACAAAGAGAAAGTACCCTATACCCAACTGAGTAAATACTTACTGCTTGAAAAAAGTCCAAATATTGCATGTAAAGTCCCAGCCCTATTTTCTGGTCCACTCTCCATAGCTATGACACCAGATATAGCTACAGGACCATAGACACCAAATCCAGCACAGAAACCCATAACAGCAACCATTAGCTGAAATAACATAATACAGTAACTGAGGATTTTTTTCTCTTCATGGAACTGGTGCTCAGCTGGTGGCGAAACCAAAATATTACTATATGACTATGATTTCAGTTTTCATCAGATATAACCTGACACCAGCACTTGTTAGGCATATATTCCTGTCTTAATACTACTTTCTGTTCTGGAGAAGTCATTATCGGAAGATTTCCAAATAGTGGCCAGTTTGAATGAATAGGCTTAGATACAATTTATTAAGCACAATAGTATCTTGGATCAATGAAAATTCATAACCTGAAAGTCCTGTCTCATCACATCTTTCTGTTCTTTAAGAGTAGGGAAAACAAGATAATGATGAGGACAATGATGATAATATCATAACAGTTTAATATAAAATCTGTGAGTGTGCGAAGGTATGAATGTGATTTTATGTATGCCGTGTAAAATCTAAAGATTTTAAAGAAAGTGTCAATCCTGAAAGTGACAATGGTCAAAATTTCATTTGTTTTTGTTTTTCATTTATGACCATCTGTGGACCATACAAAACTAAACAATGAAAGTCGCATCTTATTACAACTTTCTATTCAGTAGCCATCCATGTTCAGTGAGTCCAAATTTTCAGCGGGTCTAAATTTCATTTAAGACAAACTAGGGACCATGCCATTTGATAAATATTTATATGTTGTACAGAAAGATTTCATTAATTGTCAATTGATCCCTTGTTGAACTGAAAAGCGGATGACAACAGTACTCGAAGAAAGAAAGCAGAGAAGAATATGGCAGATTTTAGGAGATATAATTGAGATTTTCCTGTTAAATAAGGAGGTCAGACTTCAGATATTCAAGTGGAGATATATATAGATATGGTGGATGTCAAGGGATTTGGTGGAAATTTAGCAGTGAGACTGTTGGTAAAGGAGTGAAGATTTACATGTGGTGTAGAAGATGACAAGTGATCTACTGGAGATTTGCCTCTAAGGCAGAGTATGTTGGATTTTTGATTTGGTGGAAATTTACCCGTGAGGTGGAAGATGTCCAACTGAAAGTGTTCTAGTGAAAATTTACGTGTGAGGTGGAAGATTTCTGACTGTAAAACTGTAGCGGATCTAGTGGAAATTTATGTGAGGCAGAAGATTTCCGACTAGGCAACCTAGTGGAAATTTAAATGTGAGACAGAAGATTTCTGACTGTTGGTGATCTAGTGGAAATTTACCTGTCAGGTGTACAATTGGAAGTGATCTAGTGGGAATTTACCTGCAAGGTGTCCAATTGGAAGTGATCTAGTGGGAATTTACCTGTGAGGTGGAAGATGTCAGATTGAAAGTAATCCAGTATAATACTCCAGTGAGGAACAGCATGAAATACATTACAACTGCCTGTCTCACCAAATGTCTAGCTATTCTGGGGTTCTAAAAAATAGCAAATGGTGACAAAATAACAAAATAAGTGTTCTGAGAAAATATTGATTTTAAAGCATGACAGAGTAACATTGCAGACTGGTAAAGTAAAATAAATAAAATAAAGCTGATTTAAAAATATTTACACTAGAAAAACCAGTAAGACATGAATGCCTTCAACCCTATCTATATAAGTGCAATATATCATTGTTCAATGAATTTGCAAAAGTTATAAATGTGACCTTTGAACGTTAATAAGATTAGGTGTGGAACTTGATGAGAGTTTTACAAGATACGTTATTGTTTCAAAATGGATGAAACAACGAGACGGGACAGATGGACATGGGTATCATTATAGGCCCCATCCCCAACCGTATCCATGAAATGCGAGGACATGAAAATACTGAAACCTGTGATTAACATCAAACTGAAAGAAAGAAAATTGATCTGATGTCCACTCCTAAAAGTGTAAAATATAGTTTTCTCAACAACATACCTTAGTAATAAGAAAATCTGACAGAAATCCCACAGCAAAAGACCCAACAATCCCTCCAAGTTCCTGGCTGCTCACAAAGGCACTGCCTTCAACCAAATAACATATATACTTTCAATACAGTCCAACATTAATGAGTGTACACACCTGTGATATACTATTGACACACAATGTCCTATTCACACACTGTAACATATCCTATTGACACACCATCTGCTATCCTATTCACACACTGTAACAAATCCTATTGACACACCATGTCCTATCCTATTCACACACTGTAACATATCCTATTCACACCCCATGTCCTATCCTATTCACACACTGTAACATATCCTATTCACACACCATGTCCTATCCTATTCACACACTGTAACATATCCTATTGACACACCATGTCCTATTGACACACCATGTCCTATCCTATTAACACACTGTAATATATCCTATTGACACACCATGTCCTATCCTATTCACACACTGTAACATATCCTATTCACACCCCATGTCCTATCCTATTCACACACTGTAACATATCCTATTCACACACCATGTCCTATCCTATTGACACACCATGTCCTATTGACACACCATGTCCTATCCTATTCACATACTGTAACATATCCTATTCACACACCATGTCCTATCCTATTCACACACTGTAACATATCCTATTCACACACCATGTCCTATCCTATTCACACACTGTAACATATCCTATTCACACACCATGTCCTATCCTATTCACACACTGTAACATATCCTATTCATACACCATGTCCTATCCTATTCACACACTGTAACATATCCTATTGACATACTAACCTAACATTGGAGTCATTCCTTTCTCCTGAACAATGTAAAGTTGTGTCCAGTTCAGTGTGCTGTACTGAACAACAGATGTAGCCATCATGCTTAGACAGAGTCCCAGGAAGCCAGGTAGGAAAAGTAGCTGCCATCTTGTCATGTCCTCACCTGTTGTATCATACCAGTAATATGTGCTTATACAGACAACTTACTATATACATCCTGTCAAAAAGACACACTTTAAACTGATAGGTTTCACGATTACTACATGACAAAGCTTTGTTGGTTTTTTTCTAAGGTACTATAAATATTAGTGAGCTTATTATCGAGAATTAACTTATTTCCAATTAACTGCAGTAATACATAATGGAGTTGTATTCACACATTGCTCAACATACACAGACTAAGTAGTAATGGAGCCAAACTGTTGAAATCTATTATATTTCCAGATTCAGGCAAAAACAAAACACCTGTTTGTTTCAGGCTGTAATATCTTGGAAAACTTGAGAATGGACTGGTGACAAACAATTGTATCATTTGTTTTTTTATAATAGGCTTATATAGGAGGGTGATCATGACTTTAACAGTGATTCCTTGAAAACTGCAATAAAAGTTTTAGGAAAAGTCAAACAATAATGATCAAAAACATGCATGGGGTTGGAAGGATAATTGGAAACAAGCAATATTTTGGTTGTGCCATATAGATTAGTGACATCTAACTTGACAATCTAAAGTTAATTTGTTATATACAATATAAATACAAATGAAACCTAACACATACTCAAATCTTTTCACATAAATGTTTTATATGATATGAATACAAACTTGATATATTTTACAACAACTGTGAAACAAGTTACTTCAGTCATACTAATCACTCTTTTTAGCCCAAATGTAAGCAAACCAAGGCTCTAACTGTGGACGAAGCAGGAGTATGCAGGGAAAACCCATGTAACCGGACAAGCGACCCCCTACCTTTTTCATGTCCGTTCCGAAAACCTAACCCAGGATGGCTAGGTGAAAGGCAAGTGTGTTACCACTGTGCCATCCAATCACCTGTAATGTACCTCACAGGATGTTCCTGTAGGGATGAGATAAGTCACAAAGGGTAGAACAGCTAACATGAACTATGATACTACTCATACCACAGAAGCATCATCTTTATATACAGGTCACAATCTCATCATCAAAATTGACACAGGATTGATGTGGGTTTGATGATGTAATGGCGTCCAAAATACAGGTTTTATTTTTAAGCATATCAGAAAAAAATAAAAATGGGTCAATTCTGCAGACACAGATATCTCAACCCTATTGTAAAAGCATGACTGGCAAGCACTCGCCAGCCTTGTGCTCACCAGCCAAACGCTTTCGGGAGGATTGAGATATTCCACAGGACAGGCCCATTTTAAACTCTTTTAATCCCAAACTCCTCATCAAATGTGACAATTAACCCTTTGATCTTTACAACAGGCTATCCAAACCTAACCTGGTGTACTTTTAAGAGATACTTTTAAAATCACATTTATGAATTTGAGGATTTTTTTTAACAAAAACATCTAATGGTCACCTAACATCATGAGAAGAAAATGTAATGTCTCTTTGCCTAATTAACTGCAAGACTAACCTCCCATCCATAATAAGATATCTCTGATCAGATATTACTTTCATCTTTCATGGCTTGTGTGGGTCGTGACTAACCTTGCCTTCTCATGGTGTAGGGATTCTGAAGTTGTTGGGTAACTTAACCTGTGCATTTTACGCTTGGATGCCATTGGTAATATGGGAATTTTTTAGCCTAATGAACTTACCTTCAACTGTTGAAGACTCGTCATGGTTATTACATGATTCTGGTTTTACAGGGTGGTTGTCTTGTTTAGTCCGTACCAAGAAAAATGCAACACAACCAAAAACAATAGATGTGACTCCTGCAGAGAAAAAAGAAAGAACAACATATTGTTTGTGTTGCTGTAGACAGACATGGAGTAGTAATGAAACAAAACTAAAACAAAAAACAAAAAGAAATAAAAAAAAATGAAAAAAAGGATAAAAGAATGTGCTATCAACACAGATTGATTTGCTATGTTTTTTGCCCTATGAACAGGTGAAGTTATTTTGAGATGAGTCTCCTTCTTGTAGCAGGTAGCTTTCTTAGAGCACAACATCATGGAAAATTTTAAGTTTCAGGATTGCTGGGTCAAGGTCACTCTTACTATTGTTGTCAGTGCTCTAGCTGTTGATTCTCGTCAATCTTCACACACACTTATTGATCATTAAATTATCTTGGACAAGTTTAGGTTTCAGGGTTGTTGTGTCAAGATAAAGGTCACATTGATCTTTTTTTGGAAATTTGTTATCAGCGTTATTTACAAATAAACACTAAAACAACACCACCTTTATCAATCATTACAGTTTGTCAGCTTGTAGGGGCCAGTTAAAACAACACCAGCTTTATCAATCATTACAGTTTGTCAGCTTGTAGGGGCCAGTTAAAACAACACCAGCTTTATCAATCATTACAGTTTGTTAGCTTGCAGGGGCCAGTAAGAGACATGTATTGTTAAAGCAATACTCCGTATTTTGAAAATCATTTCATATCATTTCAAGCACAAATAAAATCTCTATATACATCTAACAAGAATCAAATTTCAGGTTTCTGCTCTGACATAAACTTAGGACAGGGTAATGAGAAAATATGTGTATTAAGGCAGAATCTTTAGAGTTTTGAAGGAACCTCTTTATATGTACATAAAGTAATTTAATATGGAGTCTACTATAAAGAATTGCTTCAGCATCAACTATGCTTTCATTTATTTATTATCATACAAGACTTAGCTGACTAAAAACGTGCAGACACTAAAAGATCCAATATCAGGTGATGCATGTATCTTTTATTTAATGCAAGATAAAGACGGAGTTGTAGAAATGATGAAATAGATTCAGAATAAAGTATACACATATCTAAGACAACACGTATCTGTGACATGTTTTAATTCGTTCTTGTGATTAACTAACAAATAAAATTCAAACTCTTACAAAGGAAAAAGAATTCTGACTTAATTTCCTCTGGATTTAACCTGTGTGTATGTGTCTACATTACATCTACTTTTAATACTGGTGACTGGAATTTTATTTATCTTGTTATATGCTTCAGTTAAAATGAAAAGCTAGCAATGCAAAAACAGTATAGGCTACAGGTAACAAAAGGACACAATTAATTTGATAAACATAGATTCAGTAATTCTCTTTTCCACGTTAAAACACATTACAACTTTGACCCTTGTAGTGTTACACAAGAGTCCACCATTGTATTTTTATTTTTGGTTTGTCCTCTTATTTGGTCTTAATCAAATGTTGTACACATGTACCTTGTTCTCATTTGAGAAGGTCACATTACGTACTTGGATTGACCAAGATTTACACAGCTGATGTCGTCAACGAAGCAGAAGATGCTTACTCTTCCAAAACACCTGGTCTTATTATTGTATGTTTTCAGGAGACTTTGCGTAAATCTTTCTTTTGTTCATATTTTCCCCTAGTTTTATTGTTTTTGGATTATGAATATGTCAAAATGTTGATATGTACTTTGTTGTTTTAAATGGAGAATATTATATCTGGATCTACCAATGAAATGAATGAGTGATTTTCACTTCAAACAGGAAATGATACAGTCAAATGTTTTTGAAAGTATAAACAGATATCATGTATATAATATATATATTAAATGTTCCGCTAAAGAAAATAGTTACAGCCTGTGAAGATAATATTGTTGCAATGTTGTACATATATATTCATTTGATCATATACATGTATCATATTTTTAAATTATATGGACTTTGATCTGAATGTAAAGGCAGCTATACCTGCTTTCAGAATGAACTAATTATCAAAATCCATCAATTAACAACACTTCTGTTTATGTCAACTGTATGCATTTCATCACACTTCTCTACATTGCCACAGTAACAAGGGTACAAAATGTACAAGAATATTGTACAGGATTGTAAAGAGGTTTGAGGATGAGTACAATGATAGAAATGATGAAGATATCATATATGTTAGATTTGTAAGTAAGAAAAGTGTTACTTACTAAACTTGAAAATCTGAGAAATAAAAGGAAATCTATACATTTCTGTTGAATTTCTAGAATTTTCCTGACGAATTTCTGTTGAATTCTAGAATTTTCCTGACAAATTTCTGTTGAATTCTAGAATTTTCCTGACAAATTTCTGTTGAATTCTAGAATTTTCCTGACAAGTTTCTGATGAATTTCTAGAATTTTCCTGACGAATTATCTTCAATCTTTTGTTTACCTTACCTTTTTTCATTTACCTAATTAGCAATCAATGACTGTGGCAGTCAATGCAGTCTCTCTTTGTGTAAACATTGATAGAAAGGCCATGTACATAACGTACACTGAAATATGATCGTTATGGAAAACAGATATCATTTCTCCTACAAAAAAACTTTACTGATTTGGAATACTGAGGGAGAATGTTATTTCAGATACACTAAAGAATATGTATCGTAGTACCTAGATTTCTAAGACAAAAATTAGGATTTTAAATTCTGAAGGAGCGCATTCGCATTGTTTCGGATATATCAAAGTATATGTATTTTAGTACCTAGATTTAAAAAAAAATTGTTGCAACATGAGGAACCAGTAACTACCTATAAAATGAAGATAAATTTCTGACAACTTCAATTTTTGTTTTATCTGTGTTTTTATGTCTTCACAACAACCAGGGTTACTATCATATGAGGATGTGTGTAGAAAAATAGAATGGAGAGGAAAGAAAGTTAAAAATCAAATCATATGCCTAAATTTTTCGAAAGATCATGGCACTGCAATACTAGCACTGGTCATTTCAATGTATACTATCGACAGATTTTTGTGTTGACTTCAACTATTCTTTGTTTGAAGCTCATTACTAAACTTCAAAGATGAAAAATTTATAGGAAAAAAACTTGAATTACTGAGGTTACCCAAAATTGGAAAACATGTGATCTCTGCTACCTTACAGGAGTTTAATGTGTGAGCTATGTCAACAGGGTATTTTATAGACTTTGAAAATATGACCATTACAATCACTAGATTACCTGCAAGCTGTATACACTTCTGCCAGCTGGACTGGGCAATCAGTACTGTGGTCAGCACAGGTCCAACCATTCCAGCCACATTCAAGGATGTAGATATTATACTCCAGGCAGTCCCAAACTGTTCTGGGGCACACACCTTTAGATAAATTATAAATAGCTTTAAAGTTAAGCAAGAGTTAGTTGACTGGGGTTAATACCATTCAATGTCACTATTAAGAACAAAATCAAACCAGAACCATTGACATACAAGCTAACACTAGATCAATTGTGCCAATAAGAAATGGTCTCTCCTGAAAAGTATTTCATAGTTATCTCCCTTGCATAATTTAAAAAATCAAAATTACTTGTATGCTTAAGTAACATGTAGTGTATTGTTGAAGGTTTTAAGCAAATCCACATTACAAAAATAAATCTACAAATTCTGAATTCTGTTTTAGTCATTCATTCTGAAGTCAAGCCCAAAAACATTTTTTTCAAAAATCTTTTCATAATTGTTTCAGATTAAAACTCTTGAAAAAAGTTTTTCTCTTGGAGTCAGATGGTCCTTAGAACTGCATTTACGACTCAGTCACTTCTGGATCATAGAATCCATATATGGTTCAGTAAATAAAACCAGACCATTGTTTTCAAACCTACAAATAACTGTTGAGTAATTTCTGTGAACAAAAAAAAAATGAAAATTTAAACGGAGGATGGATGACGACAATATGTTAGGTGATCTAATATAGATTTAAATGTCTCTATAATTACATGTTTAAGGCTCATGGCCAAAGCTGGCCAACCTGGTCCCTGGGAAAGTCCATTCATAAACCATATCACACTCATCATCACAGCAGATGTGGTCGCTGAAAATGAATCAATCTACATAGATAATATGTCTCTTATATTCATATTCCACGCAGACAAATGGTTATATAGAAGTAGATATTCATATTCCACGCTGACAAATGGTTATATAGAAGTATATATTCATATTCAACGCTGACAAATGGTTATATAGAAGTATATATTCATATTCCACGCTGACAAATGGTTATATAGAAGTATATATTCATATTCAACGCTGACAAATGGTTATATAGAAGTATATATTCATATTCCACGCTGACAAATGGTTATATAGAAGCAGAGTAATTTTCCTTGAAATTATAAAGATGGCCACAGTGTTTGGATAATGATTTATCGATATGATAAGATATTATCTAGATAAATCATGGTTCATCATAAATTATGGTTGGGTGGTGCAGTTATAATGCACTCACCTTTGACCTTGTTGTGACCACATGGGTTTTCCCTACAGTCTATTTTTAAAAATAAAATTTAGATATGACCTTTAAAACACATTGCCCTGTGTTATTCAGTTAAATATTTCTTCACCAGAAAAGGTGAGATTAATTCATTTTCATTTTTAGAAATTAATTTGTGCTTTGTTCCTATATACAAATACAGTGGATTTTGTCTAAACTGGACTCTGTGCAATCCAGATATCTACCTAATATGGTCAAATAATTAAGTCCCAGTTCCAACAACATTATAACAATGGACTCTATGACCTGGAACTCTACAGCCAAATTATTCGGTCCCAAAGGTGTCCGGTTTAGACGGATTCCACTGTACATTCCTATTGTAAGTTAAATTTGTTTGGACAACACACTGTCTCATTGCAATAATCGCTAGGTAATAATTGAAACACTTACTTGTGAAACATATCGCTGTGAAGCCAGACAAAATCAGTCCCCCTGATAATAAAACATTTGGGCTGACAATGTCCACCAGAATACCACAGACAAACTTACTAATGGTATAGGCAAGTGACTGGCTGCTAAGTATCATACCTGTTAGAAGAAAAAAGGTTTGCATGTTTTAAGAATTATGCAGTTGTTCATGAAACAAAAAATATTTGTAGAGAGATCTAGCCAAAGTACTGTGGAACATTGTCATTAATTTAATTGAAACTTACCAGCAAGTCAATTAAAATGGTCTGATGAGTCATAATTGATTAAAATTTCCATTCAACTAGGGACACAAGTTTACTTTTACAAATCTGTCATTTATGAAGTCATATACATGTTAGCAAACATACATACAAATACCTGCAATTATCTTAGGAAAAAATACCATATAAAATTATTTTGAAAAATTTTACGTACAACTATTAAACTCCTATCAGCTGGCATTAATAAAATGCTAATGGTCAACAGCACACCCAACATTAAACACTAAAACTTATTTCAAATGATTGTTCACTGAAAGCACAGAGTTCAAATAGTTCTATTCAAACTTAGAGATCTCAATGAGCCAATTTTTAAGTTGGAAGTTGGTGAAGGGTCATGTCTTTGTCTTCTGAATCAAAGAATCAGTTGATAGGTGGAGTACTGTAGCAGAATCAAACTATTGTGTTACCAGAAAGCTAAGATACATATAGAGCACTCTTGTGGAGTTTGGATGTATATTCCAGGTTTGCATGGTCATTGCCATTTTCTACTTCCAGCTAATGTTAATGGTTCCTTACATTCTAACCAGTCCAGTTTTACACATCCTCGGAAATAAAGTAAAATCTGCGCTTGTCATTAAAAGCAGTCTTATAGGTTTAAACTAACACCAAATTTCTTAGAAGGCTTAAGTTTTACATATGATGAGATTATAACCATCTGGAGCCTCTTTGACACTTACCTAACTGACTCTTGTCGAGCTTGACTGTCTCTGATACTGTAGGCATGGCAAAGGAGAATGACCGTCGTACATAAACATAGAGGACATAACTGAGATAAAGGCTGGTCAGAACAACGGTCTGTCTCCCCGTCAACCCCATCATTGGTCAGTAAAGCTTCTGAAAGAGAATCATAATAATTAATTCTTCTTTCAAATTTATATGTAAAATTAGATGTGTATGCAGAGATTCTTTTCTCTATAGCAAGATTGTAATGGTGTACATTACAAAAGTCTTGGAGAGATTTTACCAGGCTGTAACCCCTCTAAGTTTGAGGATGGCAGGATTTGAGTAGAAGCATCATTCTCGGTAATTTACATATGTATCTGACATCTTCAAAAGGACATGAACTTACTTCCCACATACTAATTGATTTTGTTCAACATTTTAGTTAAAACACTGCTTTATATATTCCAGATACCAACTAAACACATTTCAATCATTTTACTGTCTTATATTCTATGACCACTGACTTGGATATGGATCTGATTCAAGTCGGTGCTATGATGTACTCAGAGATACAAAATACATTGCGATAAGAAAATTCCTGGTTGGCTCAGATTTCTCACTGTGTTTTCACCGAGATGAAGTCATCAAAGATGTTCATTGTTGTTATTTTATCTTATCTATTACACTCCTTTTGTTTCTATACTGTGTAGTTTGTTTAGACTATGCATTGATAGGCCTCTCAGAGCCATTTTGTCGGCCAGTGAGAAGTGAATCTCATTTTTGTAACAAATAATACTAATAAAAATACAAAGACTATCACTTACTTGTTTATAAGTCATAAAAGAAATTTACTGAATTTTTTAATGCCGTCTATTTTCAAAAAAGTGTCCATATTTCTGTCTGAAATGATCTAAAGCTCAGGTTGGTATTCACACAGTTGTTTAGATACATGAAAAGGTAACAAAATTATTTGTCATAAATATATATGCACAACCAGGGACGTTTTATACGGCACAATCCACAACCAATTTGAAAATTGCCACGCTTTCGCCCGTTTTTGTTGCAAACATTTAGAAGAACTTAGTTTGTTTCTATTCCAAACGACCCTGCGTTTAGGTAACTAATTGGTTACTAAAAGCGGTATGTATCCCTGCAATACAGGAGAATTACTGGTGTGATTTAAGGGACTAAGCCCAACCTGTGTAATTGAAGCTAACAATACTGAACAGCCAATCTCTTTATGAAGTTATTATCACTGGTTTGTTGTAGTATCTGTATCACCTGACTTCGTTGTCTAATTCTTTACAGTACATGTATATGTGCTCTGTAATATTTTCTTGTACGAAGCAGCGGACATTCCTTGTGGGATACTTTTTGTTGGATCTTATAAACGACAGCTGTGCCCGAATACCGGAAGTGTAATGTGGACGGGGCTACGTGTATGCGCATGCCCATTCGTTTCTGTTTCGACTTAAATTTCGTCGCAATAATTTTCTAAAACAATATTTCTAACTGTATCTTAAGCTTGAGCATATGGATACCTGTGACAGTTTCGGTAACGAGTTATATTAGAACCATTTTTGGTTGTGTAGTTGAAATTTGTTTTACAAATACAAGTGACAATAATGTCTGGTGTCTTAATGATTTAATGACAGGTCTATATTACAATTATACGGTTCGTGATGAAATAAATAAAATTCTAGTCCACAGGCTCTTCACCTACAGCAACACTGTCAGTTATTTGAGTATAACTTTAAGCTGATTTGGTAATAGACTGAATATTGTTATTTTAGGTGTAATTGTTGATTTTGAATACTGACAAAATTTTTGCGTATATCTTTAAATGTTTACTGCGGGTAGCGTAAAGCACTTATCAAACTTGTACAACTTCCTTAATTTTTATTGCTATACTGAATACATAGGTAGGGTGGTTCCAATCATACAAAATAAAAAGAAGAAATATTTTCACTGGTTTATTTCATCAGGTATGCATCCTCGCTTTCCTTGTCAATGTCTTGAGGAATGATATCACCACGGCTAGATCATCCTTACACTTTGTTCAGTGATTATGATGTGATGTACAATCTTTTTGCTCCTAGAGAGAACTAAGCATATAGTGTAACACGTGCATATTTTTGTTTGCATAAAAATTGGTATTTTTGTCCTTACATATTTAACGTTCATTTTTCAACCAAAATTGCACCTGAACTATGTAAATGTTAAGCTAAGTGTTGAAAAGTGTACATTTCTTTCCTTGTACATTGGTAAACATTGTTGCCTAATGTTAACAGTCATAATTCAATAATAAAAATGCTTCATAAGTACTTGCTATGGTTCCAAAATCATTTTGAAATTTCAGAACCTTCAATTTTAGTGCAAAGTAATATTTCAACATGTTTGTTTAAACGGATGTTTCTTGCCTTTTAGAATAAAGTGTGGACATTGTTTTTTTTTTATAATGACCAAGTTCCTTTCTGTTTGAAGAATTTTGCTAAGTAGATGCTTCTTTTTCTCATTTGAAAGTACTTTTCTGGAGATTTTAACTTTACTTCAAGCAATTTGATTCAAGATTTTCAGCAGCAATGTGGAGTTACCAATTTTTTAATAATTTATGCACATCTATAATACTTCAGCACTGAATTGCTTTCAGTTGGCATTAATGTGCAATTTCAATGATGTGTTACTTCATTTTATTATATTTCTTGCAATGTTCCTAGAAATATGCCATTGGAAGTTCACTAGTTGAAAATCAACGCAGACTTTGGTCAAATTACACAATTTAAGCACTGAATAAAGTTGTAAATATCGCAACATATAAGATATATATCTATAAAACAATAATTTGTTATGATACTTTAAATACATGCATGGAAATACAAAATATCATTTCATCAGATAAACTGCTTGCTCTGTGCTGTAATTATATAAGCTGTCATAAACATTTTGTGCTACAAATGGAAGGAGCAAATGTTGATATCCTTTGCAATGAGTAAGACATTCTCCGTCCAGGAAACTCTTGACCATAACCGAGCGAGGACATTTGAGCAAGAAATACAGAGGAGATACTTGGAGAGTTTTGGTTTGACACAGAGACGGATAATAGGTGATGGAAATTGTTTCTTTAAAACTATGTCAAATGTTCCTAGGAAATGAAGATTCGCATCGTGATGTACGGGCCACGACAGTTAATTTCCTAATCTTCACATGTTCAGATTTCTTCCATCTAGAAGGTCAAGCCACAGACTTTGAACAACACATGTAACATGAAATTGACCAACTACCAAAAGATGGGGTATATGCAGGTCCGAAGTGCGTTGTTGCATTATCTCTCTCTTTAAGTATCCTTGTTAAACACAGAGGCACTGAAGAAGATGCACAGGTTTTCACATTACAGCATAGATCAGAGTGACATCAATCTCCACAATGTGTTTTCAAATATACGTGGGGGCATTATGATGCAACTGCTGACACTGGTGATGTTGGAGAGGCCGTTATCAAAGATGAAACAATTAAACCTTCAAACAGAAAGTTTGAATGGAAGGAAACAAGTTTCTCCTCCCTTTTTCCAGTCAAATCTCACACTTCAACTTCCACTTCCATCAATCAAGCCCATGTGATTTGCTGTAAAAGTTTTTAATGTACCCATTGTCAAAAGCCATTTGGTTCAAATTCTGCTTGGAGACGTCAAGTATTACGTGTGGTTACATTATGAAATGAAAAATTCAGATCAGTCAAAAACTTGTTAAAACACTTACAGGATTTTAACTCTGCATCACTCGAAAAGACTTTCCTTTCATTTTTAAACTTGGGTGAATTCAAATCATGGAAAGCAGAGGAGAAATTAGCAAACAATGTTTTCTTCAGGAAGAAAAGGAAAGAAACAAGTATCTACATATTTTTTCAAGTTGTTTGCAATAGGGATGGTCATAAATGTACAGCTAAGAAAAATAATAATAAAGTAAGTAGATATAATTTTAAAGGTTCTTGTAAGATTAATGCGTTGTGTCCATCGCATATGCTTTCAGTTATTGATAAAGCCAGTGGCCATGTTAAAGTTGAGTATATACCTACACATAGTCATTCTGTTGACTTTGACCAAATATCTTCCAATTCCACAAAATGTTAGGGATGACATTGCCAAAATGCTCTCAATAGGAATTATAGTTGATTCTATTTTGGATGATATATAGATATTGGTAATTTAGACGGTAGAGATTCAAGTAATATAAAGTACTATCAATTAGTTAATCGGCAACACATTGTGGCTATGAAAAGGAAACTTATGGAGTCAAAGTGAAACCAGCAGGAAAAAAACCAAGAGAGGCTTTGCTTCAGTCTTCAGTTCGATTCTTCTTTAATTTTAGCTACAGACGAAAGGCATTCGTCTTTAATATATTAAAAACATAACATTCAATAGAAACACAGATAATAACGCACCTGTAACTAATTAAAATAAATGAATGAGAATGATTAACATTTTGACCATCATCATACAATTACATTAATGGTCGCATCTCACATATGATTACATACACATTCGTCGTAAGTTACACCGAGAAACAGTGTGCATTAACATGACCTATGTCAACAGTAATCAGAACAGTGTTAACAAAACTCACCCTAAGTAAGGTAGACGAGACATAATCGCATAATCCTTCTTCGCTCCACAATAAATCTCGCTGAGATGAATACCTGAGATGGACAGACAATCTTTTGCAATAGAAACTTACGATATATGAAAAATACAAGAATAAAATTCAGTTACTTCCGAGATTCGAACCTCGGCTACGAGAATTAAAAATCATCTCAAATTACAACACCATGAACTTTTTTTCAAGATGATATTTTTATTTCCAAAACATGCACAAATATGATACAATCTTCTACATACAGGTAGTATGTAAAATTAATTAATTATTTAAGGATATATTATTTTACACACTCGTGCACTTATATTTTACTTCTACACTCTAACCATTCACACTCACCTTACTCGCATAAAAATGGAATCGCAGTAATATTCGTAACTCAGATCCAATAACATGTACAAGAGGATTAAAAAAAATATTTACACAATTAAGCACTGTTTTGTCTGAAATAGTAATAGTTAAAAATGTAGTTAATGTATTTCTTGATTGTAAATTTAAAGAAAGACTTAATATCAACAAGACCTTCTCCATTCATCACTAAATTACGACGTTTGAAGATACAAAACCTGGCAAAAGACATCAAGAAATTGACAAAAATATATTCGCGTGTTTATTTTTCTGTGACGAACCAAACAACGATAAATTTGTGGTCATTGGGGACATCGACATCTGCCCTCGAAAAAAATAGTTCCAGTTAAATTTACATGATAATCAATTAACTGTTTTAACTTTGGACACTCTAAGAAAAGATGAATTATGTCTTCAGTATGAAGCTGACAGACAGGACAGTGATCAGTATCCGACATCGTTTAGCGGTATAGTTTATCGCGAGTAAAAATACAATTGTGATCAAATTTAAATTTAACTCTACACAATTACATGGATAGTAAGATACATGTACAGTCTGAAAAATCCGGTCAACATCAAAATTAAGAAATTTGTTCGACCAGAACTGTATGGACACCGGCTGTACAAACACGCGCGGCACGAGCAATTCACGTGTAGTCATGTTGATAATAACAGGATGTGGTTGTTAACTGTTATGTGTAACTGGATTAACGTAACTGTTTATAGTTAAAACCCATAGTTATGGTAAATATTCATTTATTGACAAATACACGGAGGATATTACATTCTTTTGTTAATGGAATATAGGATTGCTGATATAGGAAGCCAGGACCATATTCGTAAGTATTGTTTATAGGTGCATTAAGACAAAAAACGGTGCTCAAGTGTGACTTAGTTAGTAATTAGGGCACTTAATTACCGTGACCTACTTTTCAACAATGGCATATTTTTTGGTCATTTTTTCTAATGAAGGTTTTGAAATATATCATCAAATGACATTTAAGAGAAACAAACTAAAAAAAATATTTTAGTTTGATAATTATAGCAATAATTATTAATTTGATCCCCCACTCGTCCCCCCTATAAAAACTGAACAGCCCTGAGATGACCTTAGATTAATGTCATGTCATTACCGCCTGAACTCAAGTTTTTAATAGACAAAAAATAAAAAAGTATCTGTCATGGCCACCAGAAGGCCCAAACTGGCACTCCTCCTTTCATATTTTAGATTGTTCCATCAAATTAAAGGGTATGTGTAATACCTTCCATCCTGTTTCCTGTCAGATTTAAACTTTTTAATTTTAGACACAAATTCCGCTTTCAATAAAAAGCTGTTAAGAATCCATAACCCTGGACCTTTCTCTACGTTATCTAAATAAATTTTCAGTGAA